TTGAGTTTTGCTTGTGCGTTTTGTTGTGGGTCTGTTTGTGGTCACTGTTACTGGGCCGGGGCAACACCAAAGGTTTAAGGTTTAGGGTTTGGGTTTGGGCTGTTAGGATTCAAATTTTAGCTTAGGGGCTTACGGGCTTCGGTGTTTTGCTGATCTTATGGGACCGTTCTTGCGCAAGTGCTTTCGGTCACCCTGATAGGAACCCCTGGGAACCCGTAAAGGAACTCTTTTTGGAACGATTGAGAAACCCGAAAAAGGCACGTCACCCTTGGTTGAGGTACGGCATCATGATGAAGCGCCAGGAGTTCCGTGAGAAGGCCCAGGAGATTGGCTTCATCAAGTACCGCTGAGCATGGAAGGAGTGTTCTGAAGGACTGGGGCAGCGAAGAGTTGTAAGCCCTACAGCCCTAAATCCGAAAACCACTAGGTCACTAGGTTGCTGAGTAGTATTCTTCTGCCCTTATTACTTCAAGGTTCCCTTATTAAAGCAGAAGAGTAGGAAAAAGGGTGCCCTTATTATAAAGGCGCTACTCAGGAACCTAGAAACCCAGTAGACCCGGAGATTCCACAGGGTCTCTGGTTGACAACCTATCGTGATTTATGTAAGATTCCTTTCATCAAGAGGAGATTGCAGTCGTTGTGGCGTAGAAGACTTACGCCCCTTCCAAGGCTTCTTGGAGGTTCATGGGTAGTTATAAGTAGGTTTATAAGTAGGGTAGCTATACTTAAATCCCATATTAGAGGACTTATAACCCCACTTACAACTACCCATGAACCTCCAAAGTTGGGTTTTGGGAAAGGGCTCCAAGGCCTGAATAAGAGCAACCTGATCCGCATGGGGAGGACCGGATGTGAGTGCTGCTTGATCGAGACTGACACGAAGAACTCTGAGACAGACTGTCACTGCGGTGGTTGACAAAGATCAAAGGGTAAAAGGAGGGACCCTTAACAAGGACCCCTAGGTATATGCCCATAATATAGCCATTGTATACCCGTTATATGGCCCATTATAGGATAGGGGTCCCCATTAAGGGTCCCTCCTTTTCCCCTTTGAAAAGAGTGAAGGCCGGTAAACCCGAAACATCCCTCAACCTCTGCTTAACACGGATAACCCAAGCGTGCCTACACCCGAAGCCCTAATCCGTGAACCTTAAGGCCCAAGCCGTAAAACCGAAGCCGTGTCCCCAAATCCTATTCCCTAAACCTCAAACCCTAAGACAAAGTACATGCCCTAAGCCCTAACTCCGACTCCCTAAACTCTACTTGGAGGTTCAGGAAAGTATATAAGAAGGGTTATAAGTCCCCTAATATGGGTTATAAGTATAGTTACCCTACTTATGACCCAACTTATAACTACCCCTGAACCTCCAAGTAATCCCTAGTACGGCCACAGGCCGGCGAACTTCAGGTACTTTGCTTTGTTTCGCGGAGTGTATCCTTTTGGTATTATCGTCGGACTCGTGAAAGTTAAGGGTTCCTTTTAATAAATTTCCGGGTTCCGTTTGAAGGGATCTACAAGGTTTTAAAGGATTCCTTTAAAGGGATCTTTAGGTAGGGTTTTTTGGGCTTCGGGCTTTGGGTTAGGGTTCCCGGTTTATGGTTTGTAGAAATGGAGGATCCTTGAACAGTCAGGGGATCTTCGGCACCTGAGAGTTTAGGGCTCCGGTAAGGGGTACATCTTACGGTAAGAATCAGAAAAGGGTTTAGGGTTTAGGATTTAGGGTTTTGGGGTGTGTTCTCGGATATGGATATTCGCGCGCCGGCGCGATAAAAGGATATTGTTAGTACTTCCTTGCAGTTTTGCTGATTTTTGCAACCCTACATCAGCATGTCGACACACCCCAACCCTAATGCCTGCATCGCTAAGACCAATACCCTGCAGCCTGGATCCCGGCAGACATCCTACGCCTTAGCTCGCGAAAACAGGCACAGAAGTGCTAGCTCCTCAACTCCCGAAGATCCCTAGACCCTAAACCCTAAACCCCTAAGCCTAAACCCTGACCTCAACCGCTTGAGCCTTTCTCAAACCCCGTCTCAGTGAGGGGCATCAAGCCTCCAAGCCGCGCCGAAAACGCGGAAGTCTAAGCTCTAAACCCTAAGCTCTAAATAGGTAGTTGTCAAAAATATGGTCCCTTTTGGTACCCTAACTATTAGGTGCCGTATTATGATAAGGACCCAAAAAGGGACCATAATTTTAACAACTACCCAAATCCCTAAACCCTTACCCCTAAACCCGAAAACTCTCAGCGCTAAACACCAAACCCTAAACCTCCAAACCGAGCCCGGAACCCAAAAAAACGCAGAAGGTCCTGAGCCAGGGCATCTCCAAACCCATATAGAGCCCTTTAAAGGAACCCTTCTAGTACCTTTATAGTAACCCTTTAGAGGAACCCTTCTAGTACCCTTATGGTAACCCTGTAAAGGAATCCCTACTCCAATGACTGAAGGTTCCCGAAGAAGGGGGGGGATTCTAAACCTTGGACCCGAGTGTAGGAACCTGATTACGAAACCTTGGGCCTCTTACTCCCCCAAAATAGTAGAGTTCATATAAGGAGCCCCAAGAAGGGCCCAAGGTTTTCTTCATCAGGTTCCTACATTACCTTCGCGACCTTAAACCCTTAACCCTCAACCCTAAACCCTATTGGGGTTATAGGGCCAGGGCTTCTTCATCAGGTTGCTCCCCTAAAGCCGCCTCCGGTGCAATCGGTTCAAGTCCGGGATCCGCCCCCGAGAGAGCTCCAGCCCCATCCTGGCGCAGGGGTGGGGAGGCAGCTCTGCACGTTTGGGGTTTTGGGGTTTTGCGTTTGGGGTTTCGGGATTTCGGGTTTAGGGTTTTGGTGTTTTCGGGTTCAGGGTGTAGGGGTTTCGAGGTTTTGGGGTTTAGGGCTTAGGGGCCTGGGGTTTGGGGGGTTTAGGGTTTTGGGGGTTAGGTAGTGCTTAAATTGGAGGGTTTAGACCGGGTCTTTCCAGGGTTTACAGTTTTGCAATATAATAAAGGGTTTAAGAAGGTGTATAAGGCTTTACAGGCTGGTTCTCGCTTTTAATCGTGCGTTGCAGAGGGTTTGCTAAGCTCTGGAAAAGTTGTAAGTAACATCCCGTTATAATCCCCATATCGTGATACGACCCACATCTTTAAACTCCAAGCCCTAAGCCTGTTTTGGAGTTTCCGGTCGAGGATGTCGGGTGCAGAGATTTCGGCGAGCTGTGCTTCCGCGTCTCGGGATGTCGCGGGTCCAGGGTGTGGGGTTTAGGGCTTGGGTTTTCAGGCCTTATACTTAGAGGATCATGGGACTTAGTAAGTAGGGTTATAAGTAAGGTAACTGCAGTTATATCTACTTATAACCCTAATTGAGGTACTTATAGCCCTACTTACTAAGTCCCATGATCCTCCAAGTAGTGTTGGGTTTGCGGTGTTTAGAACTTTAGGGGTGGAGGATTCAGATCTCCGGCTCTTGGGAGTGGAGTTGATGATGATGATGCTACCTGGACCCTACGGAACCTACCTTTTTTAGCGTTCCCTAATATGATTTCTTTATAGAAGTCCTTAAAAAAGTAGGATACTTGGGTTAAGGTATGGGTTCCCCTAGTATGATTTCTCTATATAAATCCTTAAAAAAGTAGGTTACTTGGGGTTAAGGTACTGATGATGATGGCGATGTCAGCAGTGACAAGCCATGTAGGGCTGGGCTAGGGTTTTGGGGTCGCGTGTGTAGCGGCTGGGGAGAGTTTCTACAGAGGTTTAGAATTGGTTTTGGGTTTGGGCTTTCGAGAGGGGTTTAGGCTTTTCAAAGTTTAGGATTGAGAAAAATCCATGTCTGATCATCGCGATTCGCCGATGCTTTGGCTGTTGTTTTTACGTCTTTCATTTTTCCGGGACACGTGTGACATAAGATCTACTTCTATGTCTCGTGCTCATTGTTTGGCTGTTTGCGCTTTTTTGGCGTTAGGGTGGGTGTGTAGGGTGGGGGTGGGGTGGTAGCTGGTGGGATTCTAGGGCGAATTTCGGGTGCGTTTTCAAATTCACCCGAAGCCTAAGCGGCGTGCCCAGACCACACCACCCTAAACCCAAAGGGGCCGGTACAGCCTAAACTCCGAGCCCTACACGCCACAGGCAGTCCAATATAGAGGCCTGAATAATTAGAGCAGGGTTTGGGGTATACTATTGAGGAATCCCCAACATAGTATAGGTGAATTAGTGAAGCCCCCACCCTAAACCCTATAGCCTAAACCCTATAGATCCCTTATAGATCCCTTTAAAGGAACCTCCCCGATATCACTGAACTCACTGAGAAATCCGTAAACCGTAAGCCCTAAACCCTAAACCCTGGCCTTCTAGGATGCAGCAAACTGTCGCCCCCTGGAAAAAACCCTAAACCCTAACCCCCCCGACGAGAGGCTTCCTGTGCCCGCCGTCTGGCTGGGCGCTTGTAGGTCGGGGCCTTGGCTGCAGCTTCGGGAGTCCTGCGGTTGATGATGATAAATCCTGCATTCCCTTAAGGCCTTAAGGACCCTACCCTAAAGGGAACTCCAGAAAGTTGGAATATGGATTAATGGTAGGATCTCCTATAATTTACCTTAAAGGGGTTACGACAATGATATTCCAACTTTCTGGCTTCTACTGTAAGGACCCTACCCTAAACTATGGGATTTATGGTATATTCCTTCTTATGGGTAATGCAGGATTTATATCATCAAACGTGGCACCACGTCCCTTCTAGGGGTTTCAAGGGTTTACTTAAAGGTTCATGGGACTTAGTAAGTAGGGTTATAAGTACGCGTAACTGTAGTTATATCTACTTATAACCACAATCAACCCCAATTAAGGTACTCATAACCTTACTTACTAAGTCCCATGATCCTCCAAGTAGGGGTTTCAAGGGTTTAGGATCTAAAGGGCTTGGGCTTTAGGATTTAGGATCTGGAAATTTCGGGTTTGAAGGGTTCACGTTTAGGACTTAGACAGCTTCGCGTTCCGGGAATCCTGCCCTAGGCCACGAGCC